AGTGCTGACTCTTAAATGTACATATTCTTAAAATTATAGGCCTAGAGTCTTAATTACTGTTTCTTGATAAAGGGTTTGACATGGATTGGGGTATTCTTTTATTAATGTTTCATTGACCTAGACCTCCTTTTTTTTTTCCTTCAAGTTTTAGGTACTTAGCTAGATCTTGTGAAGTTTTTGTTGTTTAATACTGAATGTAATTATATAAGATACCAGATAAAGTAAGTGGCTGTTCCTGAATATATCATATTTTTGTTTTAAAATTATGATGTCAGGGTAAGTTAGGCAAATAATTTTGTTATGTTTTGTTATTTTGGTAAATTGATGTAAATTAGTGTGAATATAATTTCTGTTACTGGCATAGACCTTTCACATATTTGAGGCCCACCTTAGCGTGTGTTAGTGTTTAATGATACTGAACATATTGGAACTTACAGAGAACTGCTATTCAAACCATCTTGACAAAAGACGTAATAGAAGCCCAAACATAATGAAATCTTTGTAATTAGTTCTGTGTTGGACCATGTTCAGAAAAGTAGATAACCTTCTCCATACTTTCTTATTCCAAAACAGGTGAAGGTGTTGTCAGAATGTTTCAGAACTGACTTTGGTTTTCATAGGCCTTGGAGCTTATAAGAAATCTAGAATATATTTCAAAATAATTTATGTAATCTGAAACTTCTGGGTAAGAAGGATCTAAATCTGCCTTGTTCAGTATAGTAACCAGTAGCCACAAATGGTATTTAAATTAATTAAAATAAAATTTAAAATTAAGTTTCTCAGTTGCACTGTTCACATTTCAAGTGTTCAGCAGCCATGTGATTAATAGCTACTGTGTTGTACAGCATAGGTACATAACATTTCCGTCATCACAGAAACCTCTATTGTACAGTACTCATATAAAGCATTCTTCTCATTTTCTGTGGAAGGATATCTCAATAGGATATATAGCTATTCTCACATACTAAAGGAAATTCCCATCTCTTCATCATTTTGGACCTTAAAAAATATCAGCCACCACACAGGCTTGGATCTATTTTTTTAAATATGGACAGTCACTTTAACTCTGTCTTATCACTCAATGAAACTAGATAAAAAAGACACACTGTCTTTAGCAAAAACCTCTGCTTCTTTGCATTTTTTCTCATTAACTATCAGAAAGTCATTACACCTCCCTGCCTCACAGCAATGTTTCCAGTACTAATTTCAGGGAAGATGTACTGAAACCAGGAGCACAGTCCACAGCTCCAGCTTCTAGAGCTCAACAGAGTATATGCTCTGAATTTGGGGTTATCCATATGACTGAACTGAATCATCCGAGCAGGAAATAAGGGATCTGTCTATGCCAGTTTGACTCAAATTAGTTGTATGAACTAAAACGTATCAAGGATAATTGTGTAATCACTGTGAATAGTAACTGTAAAGATTCATCCGTAAAGTATGCTATCCCTTTTAAAAGTTGCTTTAGTGAGTACGATGAGGACATTCAAGATATTATTAATGTGGGTTTATTCTTTTCAACAGACTCAATAATGAGAGGGAGGTATCCGTTAGATTTTCAGTTCTATTCTTTCAGGTTAGAACCGTCTATTCACCCCACATTCAAAATTTCTCTTAGCACCATTCTTAGAGGGGAGACCAGTGCTTGGGAAACGAGTTAGTCCCATGAGAGCTACTATGAGCTTGGCATTCTGAAAAGGAGGATAGAATTCTAAAGAAAATGTGTACCACATTTTAATAGAACATGTTAAATTACTTAATTTTACCCTTTTTCTATTCTCCTTAAAACAGTTTAACTCCTGATAGATTTTAATAATCTAAAAGCATACCTATTCCTTTCTGTTAATTTTAAGATTGATCGTCATGGTACAAAATCATCCTTCAGATTTAAACAAATGATTAGATCATTAACTGGGGGGAAAAGCTGGCGTCTATGTTCAGGTGATCAGGTGACATAAGCAGTCTGGTTTTTATTTGTAGCCAGTACTGATTGTAACTAAGAGAGACTTGCTCTTTTCGTGGAATTGGGTGACTGTTTCCCTACATCTGGAGTTAATAAAGTCTTTGAGACCACATCAGTTGTGCTTTGCCGCACGAAGTCTTTGATCTGAAAAATCAAGACTGGCACAACTGCTGCTTCATAACATTGCATCTGTGTTTTTGCAAGCTATAGTTAAGATACCAAAAGTAAAGTTATTTAGCCTGTATTAGAAATGCTGGTAAATGTACCTCTTTGAAAGTCACATATTTCAAAACATTCTTACAATAAAAATTTTGAACTTGGGTTAGTACAAAAATAATATAGTAGAAATTTTTTTGGCATTTTCGTTTATAATGTCTGTTGTTTAAAAGTCCATTGTTTTCAAAGTCTGTTTGAAAGGACTAGCATTCAAAACAAACTTTACCTCTAAAATGTGCCAGTTTCTCCATACAGCTTCAACATTTTTGAATGAGGGAAGGCAAGTCCCCTTCTCCGCTTTGTGTGGTTTATCTTGTTTTCTCTCTTTCCATGACAGCCATCAATAAACCACTATCTGATCAGCATATTTTTTTTATTTAACAGCAATTTGTAAATCAGTAAAGTTCATTCTTTTACTTCCTTTTGTAATGGTAACCATTTTCAAAACTTAAAAGTGTGAGTATATTAATTTGTGAAATACAGTGCATTGAATGGAAGTAAGGATAAAGAAATAAAAATTGACAAATTGTATAGAAATTTAAACTGACAAATTATGTGCTTTTGTGTGTGTGAAATAACCTATCAGATTTGGAGCTTTTTCATAATTATCAAGTATGAGATTCTTATATACTGTTTCAGTCTATAACATGGATAGAATTACATTATTTTATATTTCATACTTTATATCAAGGATGATGTGTATAGTAAGTGCACATTTGTGATAAAAAGCCTATGTTCGGGTGCTGTCTTCTAAATTTGATTCTCTTTGTATTTTCTGCCTAGGTCTATGGATTAATTCTGTTTTTTTGTTGTTCGTGGTTTTTAGCTTAGCTTGAAGAAATGTATATAGAAAGGGGCAGAGGACTTCTAGCTAGGGCTAAGTTTAGAAGATGAAACTTGATTGAAAGAAAATAGTCCAAAGTTCCTTTCCTGAAAACATTATCTGCCTACCAGCCTGTACAGTACGTTGCAAACACATTTGTATATACTCAATTATTTTATTTCAACACAATAATTTGTGAAATAGCTTTAAACCAGAAAAGTATGTTTAGTATGTATAATGACCCAACTATATTGTCTGCCATATTCCCCAAACTAGAGGATGCTTCTAGATAATTCTTAGGAATATACTGTATTTTGTCCGAGACGTCTCAGATACCTTAGGTGTGTCTTTTTATCTCTACGATGTGAAAAGTAGGAAACAAACCTGCATGGCAATCCATTAAGAAAAAAAATCACCTGTGATAGTATTATCAGGATTAGCAAGAGGAGTAAAATTGACTTTGCAACCTTTTATTTAGAATAAGCTGTATATAAAACTAGGCTCAGGTCAGACAAAAACTGTAAGGAACAGCATTTGGGTATTGAACAGGTAATATTTACAACATAACTGCTCCTACTAGAATAAAAGATGATACTATTAGCTAATACTTGTTGCCTGCATACTTTGTACAAGGCACTGTACTAAACATTTTATATATAATCTCATCTGATTTGCTCATCAGTCTCCTCACGCAGGTTGTGTTAACACCATTTTACGAAAGTGGGAATTGAGTTTTGGGAAAGTTAGGGTAATTTGCAAGGGGTCTTTACAATTAATACCTCCAAGAAAGAATTAATTAATATAATTGTCGGTTTATGTAAATAAAAAATTGGGATCCCATTTTAATCTTGGTGTGCTTCCTTAACTCTTTTTCTATTAGTGTAGAGAAATATATGCTTGAGGTAAAATATCAAATTATGTAGAACATAAAAGTCCTTCCCAATTCGAAGTCCAAAGATGTAACCATTGTTAGGTTTCTTGTATGTAATTCTAGAACTTTTCTATGCTTATGTAAACAAATATATGATTTTTAAAATACATGCTTCCATAATTTTAATGTTAGTCTCTTTCAATCAGCACTTAAAATTTTTATTTTGTTGACGTTAATGGATGTATCATTTCAAACTAAAACAAAATAGTTTGTTTCACACACTGTTCACAATAGCTTACCTTTCCCTTCTTCCTGACTCCTGGTTTACCTTTATAGACTGTATATCACTTTAAATATTGTTTTCCACCTTTGTTTCTGTAGTTATGAGACTATTGTAATAGATCACATTTTGACCATTAAGGTTATTTGGCTGCCTGTGTAGTTTTCCAGAGAAATGTATATGCTAGCCATTTGCTAATTCAAAATGTTTCTAGTTTGCTAATCTAAAGCAAGGGTTTATCAAAGGAAATTAATTCTGCTCTAACAAATTAAATGAGTTTTTTCAAAGCTTTGCCAGACTTTAAAGTGTACTTGAAATGTTTTTTTAATTTATTTGCTAACTCTACCAAGTTAAGGAAGTTGCTGAACAATCGTATTGTGCCTTCGATAGTTAATTTTTAATTGTAACAAAGATACCAACATTTTATCAATCTCATTTTGATTTTATTTGACGAATCTTATAAGTAAAAAGAATGAATTTTATGAACCCAGATTTTATTTCATGCTATATTCAAAGAACATTTGTTTGGTCCATCAGATTTTGAATCATGATTTGTGTTTGGTAAGCCAAGTTAACACTTACTCAGTCACTTGGTGTTCCTGTCGTAGCAAGATGCATTACAGAGATATTTGGAATAGTATTTTTCTCTAATAACCAGCTCAAAAAAAAAGTGGATGGCATTTAAGTTTGATATTATTTGGATTTAGACAGTATTCTTTTCATTTGTGAGCCCTTTCCTAAAAATTAGATAGACCTTTGTAAGCCCCATATCGCATATAGAACTCATTTTACATAAGTAATATGATAGTCATTTACATTTTAATTAAATTCACTGTTTAATTTTAAGGTATATGCACCATCCCCAAATTCAGATGATTTCAACCGTGAATCTCCTAGTTATCCATCTCCTAAGCCACCAACCAGTATGTTTGCTAGCACTTTCTTTATGCAAGGTAAGTACTACCAAACAGTTGCCAAATACTACTGCAGCCATCTGTGTATCAGCCAGTATTTTAAAGTATTAAGAAAGAGAATACCTACAGAGGAGTTCAGGCCTATTTAGATCATTTTTTTGGCTAAAGTAAATTAAAATTTAGCTTTATAATTTTCTAGTGCTTTTATTGCTGACTGCAATTTAATTGAATTATCTAGCTAACCTTTGGAGTGCTGGTCCAGTAATAATTGAATTTATAAGGTCTTAAGTTAAAAAAAAAGAATAGAACTGTTCTTGTTCATTTTAGAATTTAAATGTATGAAAGCTGTCAACTCTAGTTTCTTGTTTAATTTATGGATTCATATATCTAGAATTACAAATATAAAAAAACGGTGAATATCACAGAACAGTAAGACTTGTCAAGAGAAAAAGTCTTGCAGGTTTTTAAATTCATGTCTAGCAAATCATTTTTATTTGGTTTCCTGTGGTTTTGGACTATGAGAAGCAAATATATGGGAGCAATAAATTATTACGTAAATGGTTCCTTGACTTTCTGTTGTTGAGTGAGGTCATTGATGACACATTTCATGTGAAGCTAACTATGATATGGTAATTATCAGTGACTTTTACTATTAGAGAAACTTTAATTCCATGATTTCAAAGTATTTGGTATCATGTATATTGCATATTACAGATTTATAACTTTCTGTTTATTTATAAGTATACCGTTTAACTAAAAATAAATCTAGCCTATCCCCAAATTTGGAATTTTTACTATCTTGATAAGAATTTAGATCTTCTGAAGATTTTTATAATGGCCTGCCTATTACAGCTTAGAATACTTTTTTCTAACTAAAACGTTTATTTCTTCCTTTTAAATAGTAATTTTACTGTTTAGAGGGAAGAAAACTGGGTAGGAGACTAGGTTGGAAATGGGAGGAAAAATATTTGGAAGGTACCCCTTGAATTTTTGTAAGCATCATTGAAATACAAGAAAAAAATTAGCTAAGGAAAATTTTATATTTCTCTTTTTGTCTTAGATGGGACCCACAATTCTTCTGACCTTTGGAGTTCATCAAATGGGATGAGCCAGCCTGGTTTTGGTGGAATTCTGGGGACCTCCACTTCCCACATGTCTCAAAGTAGTTATGGCAGCCTTCATTCACATGACCGCTTGGTAGGCTCTAACGCATGACTAGGGTACAGCAACACTTCGGCCTCACTTTTGTTTCATTTTGGATTACGAGTGTAAAATTTGATTCTGCCAAAAATTCTGAAATTTGAAGTACTTCAAGGCTTACTGCATTTACCATGCCTTTTAAAAAAGTAAATGACAATAGTAGCTCTCTTCAGCTGCTAACTTGTAAATGCTCTTTTTGACCTGTTATCATAGTTGTCCATTATATGTACATATTATTCAGAAAAGATACTTAATAGATCATATCTCTTTCCCCTCCTTATCTAGAGTTATCCTCCACACTCAGTTTCACCAACAGACATAAACACGAGTCTTCCACCAATGTCCAGCTTTCACCGCAGCAGTACCAGCAGTTCACCTTACGTTGCTGCCTCACACACTCCTCCCATCAATGGATCAGAGAGCATTCTAGGTGAGCTTTTTCAGTGGGCAAAACTTCCTAAAACCATCTTTTTATATATATATATTTGGGGTTTGGTTTGGTTTTGTTGAGACAGTCTTTGTCAGTGGGCTAGAATGCAGTGGTACAATCATGGTTTACTGCAGCCTCAACCTCCAAGGTTGAGGTGATCCTCCTTCCTCCGCCTCCCCAGTAGCTGGGACTACAGGCATGTACCACCAAACTCAGCTAATTTTTTTCACCTTTTGTTGAGGCAGGGTCTTATTATGGAGACAGGGTCTCATTATGTGGCCAGAGGTGTTCTCAAACTCCTGGCCTTAAGTGGTCCTTCCACCTCAGCCTCCCAAAATGCTAGCGTTATAGACATGACCCACCACACACATGTGGCTCCTGTTTGTTTCCTTCCCTCCCTCCCTCCCTCCCTCCCTCCCTCCCTCCCTCCCTCCCTCCCTTCCTTCCCTCCTTCCCTCCCTCCCTCCCTCCCTTCCTTCCCTCCTTCCCTCCTTCCCTCCTTCTTTCCTTTCCTCCTTCCCTTCCTCCCTCCCTCCTCCTTTCCTTCCTTCCCTCCTTCCTTCCTTCCTTCCCTCCCTCCCTTCTTCCTTCCTTCCTTTCCTCCTTCCCTCCCTTCTTCCTTCCTTCCTTTCCTCCTTCCCTCCCTTCTTCCTTCCTTCCCTCCCTCCTTCCCTACTTCCTTCCCTCCCTCCCTCCTTCTCTCCCTGCTTCCCTCCCTGCCTCCCTTCCTGCTTGCTTGCTTCCTTCCTTCCTTCCCTCCCTCCCTCCTTCCCTTTTCTTTCTCTCTCTCTTTTCTTTCTTTTTCTTTCCCTCTCTTTCTGCTGTCTTACTTTCTGTCTCTCTCTCTCAGCTCTCTCACTCTGTGGCTGCAATGTCCACCTCTGGGCTCAGGTCATCCCCCAACTTCAGCTTCCCAAGTAGCTGGGACTACAGGCACACATCACCATGCCTGGCTGATTTTCCATTTTAGCGGAGGTGGAGGTTTCTCCATATTTCCCAGGCTAGTCTTGAACTCCTAGACTCCGGTGATCTACCTGCCTCAGCCTCCCGAAGAGCTGGGATTACAGGCATGAACCACCACACCTGGCTTGGCCCCCTCTTTCAATATATTTTTTGTGTTAAGTTTAAAAATCAAAGGCAGGAAGACAAGAAGCTTTTTTATTTTCATCAATATAGAGACTGGTAAACTCATTTTGAGTTTATTATTAATAAGTATAACACATGCAGAGTATTTCCTAGTTTATTGTAACAGATATGACATGACAATAGAGAACACCCTTAAAATAATGGCAGAGTGCTAAAACAGCATTCCTGCTGCTAACATTCCTCATTCGTTTCTCTGTAAACTATCCAGGAACCAGAGGGAATGCTGCTGGAAGCTCACAGACAGGTGATGCACTTGGAAAGGCTTTGGCATCTGTGAGTATTGATTTTGCACGTTCTGCTGAATGAGTTTTACACTGCTGAATACAGTGATTAGATTTTGTAGGTGATAAGTGTCTAAAGAGTGTAGATGTAACAAGATCAGTTTCATTGCACATTTAGAGTTATTCTCTGTTTGTATTGACACTTGTCCTAAATGCTGTGCCTATGGTATAGCAAATGCTGATAAGTGGAAAAAGAAGCCGTCTAAAGCACAAACTCTAAGATTAATCATTAAATCTGTTTCTTCTAAATACACACTTAGTAAGTGACCCATTAAAATAAGTCAAGTGGAACCACAAAAGATAACTCAGTATTCTGATCCAGAGGATGAAATGCCTTATGAGAAGGTTTTCCAAGATGAAAAGCTTTTTGTGTACTCTCTGGTTTTTTTTTTTAAGTCACTTGCACCTGATGTACTCAAGGGATAGGAGATGAGAGGCTTCTTTCCGAAATAGCCACATTCATTGAAGGACTCAGGCTGGAATGAGTAAGACTGATTTGAAGTATTGACAGTATTTTCCTGGGCAACTAGTTTACATACATCACATGAGGACATTCATGTCAACGCAATGATGATGTTCTCGTGTCTGATTCTTAAGACATTCTTTGGGAATGCTAGCTAGAAGGGAGAGCATCTGTCAGTGAATCTGTACAATTTTTCTAACCATTTCAAATCTACTTATTAAAAAGAAGCACTTGTGCTTTGCACTTCCTAGCATTTTACTTTAGATGAATTTTTTTCCTTCTTTTTTTCTAAGCAATATGCTTCCTAGAATTCCCACAGAATTGTCTTTTATTTTCTGTGATGTGCAATTAACTCATACATTTGTTGCCATCCATGGAGAATGTAGAGCACTCTAATACCTCAGTGGTAGGAAGCAACTGTTGAACACTTAAGGAGATAAACCTCTTTGTATATTGTTTAAGTAAATAAACTTTTCTCTACAGCTGAGTGCTAGCTTGTTGGAAAATGAAGCCAAGTCACACTCATCTGCTACATGGTAGAGTCCCACAGAAAATGGAGCTCAGTGAATGTTTGTTGAATTCCGTCTTGGATCATATAATGATAACGGTAGTGATACTAACAAACCCACACAATTCATCAGCTATAATTTGAGTGCTTGCTAGGTACCAGGCCCTATGCTAAGCATTTACATGCCCTGTTTCATTTGATCCTCAAGAAAGCCCTGTAAGGTTGGCTTTGTTATCCCCACATTACAGATGAGGAACTCAGGTTTAAAAGGTTAAGTAACTTGAGCTCAGAAGGATTAAGCAGCCTGCCCTAGGGGGATCACGAGCTAGCATGGATAAAGCCCATATATATTAGAACCCTGATGAGACCAGCTTCAGACTCTGTTTTTAACCACTGTTCCATACGTCCAGAAAGTGCAGTGCTAATGGTAACTGTCTTACAGGGTATTGATGGGAATGAAAGAAAAATGCCTCACCCTTTCCTGGACTTCCTGCCACCTGATGAAAATGACCTATGTAGGAAGAAAATTTTATTCTGTACTAAATCTGAGAAGTCCCCAGGCAATTTTATTCTGTATTTAATCTGAGAAGTCACTGTGGCAATCCGATTAGCTTGCCATGTTCCTTCTCCTGATTCTGGAAGTATCCAGTAACAGATATTTCACATGTAAGAAGACAAATAGCATTTGAACTTTCAGTGCTAGATAATTTTTAAAAATATAACTTTGATTTTAGGGACTTTTTTCTTAAAGCTCATTTGTTTATTAAAGAAAAATTTCTATCAGGGAACCTTGGCATATAGACAGGCAAGAATTTGTGATGTTCTCTGTGGCCCTTCAAGCTCATTTTGTTGGCCCTTCATTCTCATCCTTGAGTGTCTTCCCATAATATGAACAGCATAGTAGCCAACCCAAAATGGCATTTGGAGAAGAATACTCAAATTCACTGTGAATGGAATCCAGTGAAGAAATGTTTAATCTAGTTAGTGGGTGGGCTTTGGTTGTCATGGAAACTCAGCTCTGTCATCCTGTGTTGTTACTATGCAGGAGCAGCCAGGTCATTCCATAAATCATTTCTGTCATAGCTGACGGTGATGCATTCCATCTGCTCCATCACTGCATGCCATAGTCTGCACATTTCAGATCCTTTCCTTCAGTCCATCTGCTTCCCCACTTCCCAGCCAGACACCTCTCCAAATACATTCTTTTTCTAACTTTACTTACAGACTCAGATTCACTTTAATATGTGTTTAGTGCACTTAAAATGTACTGAAAAAGAAAAACATTACATTATCTGGGGATAGGAAGGATTAGAAGAGATGAGGAGAAGGAACTTAATGAGGATTATGTTTGGGTCTGACATGTGTGTCAGAATTTTATCTCAGGTATTGTAGATCTTTTGAAATGGTGACTATGACTATTTTAAAATTCTAAGTTCTTTGAATGTGACTTTTTAATATAGTATCGAGTTTTAGATGGGGAAACACTATGCTATTGTCATTAAAAAAATAATTCTATTTCCCCAGTTGTCTGTTATATGTCTTAAAAGATCTTTCATGTTGAGCCACATCAGAGAGTACAACCTTTGTTCTTCAGTTTAGGTATTAAAGAGCACACAGAATACTGTGTGATTAAACATGTAAGGCCAGATAATGCATTTGCAAAGGTTCCTTTATTTTAGGTTTAAGCCTGGATAATTGTGGTCTTAATCTCGGGATAGCAAGAAAGAGAATTGTACATGAGAGTATTTACACAAAGTTCCCAAAGCCCTGTGGATTATGCATTAGTTTAGATTAAAAAAAAAAAAAAAAAAACTAGGGTAGATAGAAGGAAAGGAAAATCTGGGTATTCGTGCCATTTCTAATGTGTTTCCCTGAACATTTGCCAGACAATAACCCTTTAAGATTGTGCCCGTGGAGAGTTATATAGAGGAAGAAACATCTGGTTTATTTCAGTGCCTAATACCATATCAAAACACTTGGTCTTTAATTTAGAGGAGATCAAACAAGAAGACTGTTTAACTTTGTTGATTATATCAGACTTCTTTGTGATAATTTATGTTTTGATTTCTACCTCAGAGCAAGGGAAAAAGTGAGAGCGAGAGAGAGTATGTGTGTGTGTCTATGTGTGTTTTAATCTGCATCGTTAAATGGTCAGTAGTCTTTAACAAAAGAAAAGAAAATTCAAGGAAGTTGATGTTTAAAAGTAATTCATGAAATAACTTTCTTTGTTCCTTAGACTCAATAACATTAGCATAATAAAGATTAACTGAAATGTGCACTGTAGTGTTTAAAAAATTGGGCTCACAGTTCTGGGGTTGGGCTTGGGAGCACTCCATTGTTTCTTTTTTGTCTAAAACCCTTTTCATTAGCCTCTGGCTTATTGGCACCCTGCTGATTGGAATAGACCATGACTGATAGGAGGAGGAGTCTCATTTGTTGGAGTAAAATGAGGCATATTACCGTTTAAGCCTGGCAGAAGGTATTGGGAGTTACTCATTATTGGTCACTTAACAGTGTGAGAGCCATGGACTGCATGCAGAGTGAGTTCTTACTTTGTTTAGACTCTAAACACGCCTATCCTCATTTTTTTAAGTGACTGACTTTTTTCTTCTTTTTATTTTTACCTTCAAACATCAGTGTTTGAGTTCTTCTAAGGCCAGGAAGTAGGAAAACAAATATATTCCTGATTTAGAATACTCTGCCAAAGAAAGCCTGTGTTTAGAACTTAAAGTAGCACAATTTCTATAAAATAAGTATGATTTGTTTGTGATTTGGTAATAAAATAAAAACTCAGAGATAAAGCTTAGTGAAATGACCTGTGTTATCATACTTTTCAAATGTTGTGTTGTTCCTCCTCTCCCACCATACACATTCTTTTTATGAAAGTAAAAGTACATTAAAAAATAAAAGTCCTGTAACTTGCAGGGCTGTCTGTACATTTAGAAGTACTGATAACAGTTCTTTCTGTCATCACTTTAACTGGCAAAGTAGAACAGTGAATGTGATGGATGAGTGGAAAAAGTGGCTTTTATTATACAAATGGAGAAGCTGCTTTTGGAAAAAATACCAGAAATGGTATATTTTTATACTTGATATGTTTTTGGTGCTGCTTCTGTTTACACAGTGATTTTTTTCTTTTAAGTTCACACCAATTTTACATGCAGAACTGGTCATTTCACTAAGTCATTTAAAGCTAGTGCTTTTATATGACACTAAACTATAACCTCTTCTTCCTTCCTTGATATAAAGGAGCTTTCACCAGTGTTGACATGATTAGGGATTGGTTTAACTCTAAGGACAGAGTTTTCAGTGAAGATTCAGATAGGTAGTCCATTTCTCCCTCCAAAGCCCATGTCTGCCACCTAACAATGTGATATGGACAGCCTAGTGCATCAGCACCGATTCCCAGAAACAGTGAATCCTCGCCATATGATTGTTCTCAAAGCTTATGCCGTAAAACTGATTTGAAATTACATCACATTTATAACAAGCTCTTTTGCCTTTGGTGTTTCTGCTACTGACCCACATTGCATAAAGACCAATATAAATACTACCATTTATTGAGTCCTGCTTTTTATCAGTTAGTATTATAGCAAATTTTAGTTGTGGTTTAATCACTCAAGTTAAAAATAAATACATTGGGCACCTTCTTGTACAAGACACTGGCATGCAATAATGGATTCCGTGTTGAGCAGTTTACATTTTCTGCCTTTAAATTGCTTGTAGTCAAGGAGAGAAGACAGGTATACAGATAATGATAGCATAGAACAGCGTGAAGGAAAAGACCAAAGAGAAGTTCAGATGATTTTCTGAAAGTATAAGGAAGGTGAAAATGTGTAAATGGGGAAGTGACATTGGAGCTGAGCTTTGATATGTAGAATTCCATCTGGGGAGGCTAAGCAACAAGCATTGTGAAAGGAGGACAAGCTGTGTTTAGAAAATGAAAAAAATATTTTGTTTGGATACTAGGGTATGTAGAAGATTATAAGGGCCAGGCACCACCGCGCCTGTAATTCCAGCATTTTTGGAGGCTGAGGTGGGCGGATCACCTGAGGTCAGGAGTGGAGACCAGCCTGACCAACATGGAGAAACCCCATCTCTACTAAAAATACAAAATCAGCTGAGTGTGGTGGCACATGCCTGTAATCTCAGCTACTTGGGAGGCTGAGGCAGGAGAATCGCTTGAACCCAGGAAGCAGAGGTTGCAGTGAGCCATGATTGTGCCATTGCACTCCAGCCTGGGCAACAGGAGTCAAACTCCATCTCAAAAAAAGAAAAAAAAAATACAAAAATGAGCTGGATGTGGTGGCACACACCTGTAATCCCAGCTACTTGGGAGGCTGACACAGTTGAATCGCCTGAACTGAGGAGATGGAGGTTGCAGTGAGCTGTGATCTCGGTACTGCACTCCAGCCTGGGCAACAGAGCAAAACTCCATCTCAAAAAAAAAAACCCGTTTTTGAGGAGAGTAGTTCAGGCAATTATGTATAGGATGAAAAGAGAGGAGTAACTAGAAATATAAACCTTAAGTAGTCCAGCCACATGTTTGAGTGAAGATTTAAAGTGGTGTCATGGCAGTGGTTATGACATTTGCCTGTCCCAGAAGCATTAGAGAATTGTGGGTATTGGTATCTGCAGAGGGAAGGGTAGAGTGGCAGAGGAAAAGAGGAGAGAGTAATTATGGTGACTGTAAGTATGGTGCTACAAAGCAAAGCAGAAGAGACAGAAGAGTAGAGATGGGAAGGATGGGTACCTTCGGGTGGTGATAATAAAATTTGGGTTTGGACATACTGAGCTTGAGATGAAAAAAAGAGTATGTCCAGGTAGAAGAATCGAGCATCCAATGTGACAGAAGAGACACTAATGTAGCAGTCATTCCCCTGGATGCGATAGTTGATATTTGACGAAGAATACTATTACCAAGAGATAAAGCACAGGTAAATGAAGGAAAACTGAGACTAGAACTCTGGGGAAACCTGTGTGAAGGGCAATGGAAGAGTAAAATAGAGATGGATCCCAGGGGCCGGGCGCGGTGGCTCACGCCTGTAATCCCAGCACTTTGGGAGGCCGAGGCGGATGGATCACGAGGTCAAGAGATCGAGACCATCCTGGTCAACATGGTGAAACCCTTTCTCTACTAAAAATACAAAAAATTAGCTGGGCATGGTGGCGTGTTGCTGTAATCCCAACTACTCAGGAGGCTGAGGCAGGAGAATTGCCTGAACCCAGGAGGCGGAGGTTGCGGTGAGCCGAGATCACGCCATTGCACTCCAGCCTGGGTAACAAGAGCGAAACTCCGTCTCAAAAAAAACAAGAGATGGACCCTAGGGACCTTATTGAATGCAAGGACTGAAAAGTATCACTTAAATGAAAATTCCTAGCAAGGATTATGCTATTCATTCTTAACAACAACTGTATATCTATATATTGAACCCTCACCATTTATCTGCACTGTTGTGGAGTCTGAAGCTACATTAATCAAAGTCCTTGTTCTTCTGGGGCTTACATTTTACTAGGAGAAAGGATAAGAAACAGGTAACAAGTAAACAAATTTAGATGATTAGAAATACAGTGTAGGCACTACGAAGAATACAAAAACAGGAGGATGTGACAGAAAATGCTATTTCATGAATTGGGCTAGTTTATAATAATCACAGCTTTGCACAGAACTGAAGATTTCTCACTCATCCATGCACCATCAATGTTATCAAAGTTTCCCTCCCTTACCAGTATTGTAGTCAAGACACATATTTCATAAACATGAGTATCAGTTGTTCATAAACGATGTAATTATTTAAATTGTGAACATAAGAAATGGTAGTTGACCGTTACGCAGAGTTATGTTGAGGGCCAGGTGCAACGGTTCACGCCTGTAATCTCAGCACTTTGGGAGGCCAAAGCCTGCAGATTGCTTGAGCCTAGGAGTTCAAGACCAGCCTGGGCAACATAGCGGAACCCCATGTCTACCAAAAAAAAATACAAAAATGTTTGATGTTGTGGTGAGGGCTTGTAGTCCCAGCTTCTTGGGAAGTCCAGGTGGGAGGATGGCTTGAGCCCAGGAATTTGAGGATGCAGTGAGCAGTGATTGCACCACTGCACTCCAGCCTGGGTGACAAAGCAAAATCCTGTCTCAAAAGAAAAGAAAAAAAAAGGAAAAGGTACGTTGAAACATGTTTTTGTGGAAGTTTGGTGGCCTTCCTTATGTGGTTGAAATAAATCAATGTATGTGTAGAAAGCCACTAAGAACAAAAACGTACCTTTCTAAGCTAATTTTCCCATATGTCCTATGAATGTTTGAAAAGGTAATAACTTTAACAACTTAAAGACCAGTATTGATTTTTTTGGGGGCAGTGGGATGGAGTCTCACTCTGTTACCCAGGCTGGGGTGCAGTGGCTTGATCTCAGCTCACTGCAACCTCCGCCTTCTGGGTTCAAGCGTTTCTCCTGCCTTGGACCCCGTACATAGCTGGGACTACAGGCACGCACCACCACGGCTAGTTTTTGTGTTTTTAGTAGAGATGGATTTCACCATGTTGGCCAGGCTGGACTCTTAACTCCTGACCTTCGGTGGTCCACTTGCATTAGACACCCAAAGTGCTGGGATTACAGGCGTGAGCCACTGTGCCCAGCCTAATATTGATGCTACACTACCTCTTTCTTACTAGATCCTCACAAATTGTTTTGAACTCCTTTCCATAGCTTTACTTTTCCAAAATAGCTTTCTAAATAGAATATACAGAGTCTGGATCCTGACAGAGATAGTTCATGTTTAAAGGCATTTACAATTATAATTCACTAACATTATACAAATTGGCATATTTTATTTGAAGTGGATGTATCCATTTGTAGTCAAAGGAAGGTAGACTTTGGGCTGCTCAACAATTTGAAAGCCTGTTACTGTTTTTAAAAATGTAATTTGGCTAAGTGTGACCACATTTCATTTTTTTCTTCCTAAGATGGAGTCTCACTCTGTTACCCAGGTTGGAGTGCAGTGGTGCGATCTCGGCTCACTGCAACCTCTGTTTCCCAGGTTCAAATGATTCTCCCACCTCAGCATCCCCAGTAGCTGGGACTATAGGTGCACGCCACCACGCCTGTCTAATTTTTGTATTTTTAGCAGAGACGAGGTTTTGCCATGTTGGCCAGGCTGGTCTCAAACTCCTGACCCTGTGATTTACCAGCCTTGGCCTCCCAAGGTGGAATTACAGGCGTGAGCCACCGCACCTGACCTCAGATGACTTTTTACACTCACAAGTGGTTTTCCTTTTTAAAATATTTGGCCACAGTGTATCCACAGAAGTTGCTTAGTCTGCCCTAAGTTAAGTGCTAAGATACAAAAATGATTTATTATGCCTATTAAAAGAATTGGATTCTATAGAAAGAGACCTTTAGGGACAGGCCCTTGATGCCTGGATTAAGGGAACTTTTAAAGTGTTTAATGTTGTTACCAGATGCCATGGCTCAGGCCGGTAATCCCAGCACTTTGGGGGAGGCCAAGGCGGGTGGATCACCTGAGGTCAGGAGTTCAAGACCAACCTGGCCAAGGTAGCAAACACCCATCTCTACTAAAATTTAAAAAGTTACTGAGTGGGTGGCACGCACTTGTAGTGAGTAAGCCGAGACCAGAGAATGAATGGCTTGAACCTGGAGGGGCGGAGGTTAGGGTAAACCGAGATTGCACCACTGTACTCCAGCCTTGGTGACAGAGCAAGACGGCATGTCAAAAAAAGTGTTTACTGTTGAATTAGATAAACTTGAATTAATCTCTGTCACCATTTATATTTGGCAGTGTGAAATACATACAAAGTATTGCAACAAAACTTTAAGCTAGAAAACCTAAATGTATGCATCCTGATAATTTATCCTCTTCAAAGAAGACCTGTAAGGATTTGAAGTTCACAGATCATCTTGGAAACAATTTTTGAACCATGTCAGGATTTTTTCACTTTCCTCAAGCTGACAAAGTATCTTCTGAGAATAAGTTTTAATTTTTTTTATAACAGTGAATCATTTGGAGCTAAAATGGGCAAAAATGTGGTTGCTCAAACTGAGTAACTTTTAAACGAGAAATAAGGGGTAACTATCAAAAAGATTATTTTCTTTGTTCAGGTTTTAAACTGTCCTTAAAGACCATTCCAAAAGATAGTACTAACAGTTTTCTGAGGTGATTATTTTTAAAGGATACCACTTATTTAGACAATATATTTTAGAAAGATTTTCGGATTGGTTAACCTTGTAGATACTTCTCATTTTTCTGTTCTAACAATTAAAAACCTTATTTTCCCCTAGAATAATAAAGAAATATATATGATTTGTTTTATTCCTCTCATATTAGAATATATATACTTTTTACTCATTTTTTAAACTAAGGCTTCTGTATGATGAAAGAATCTAAAACTTGATGAGAAATTTTTTCACTCTGGTCTTAGGGGTGACAACTAGATTATAAAAATAACTCCGTGTGAATGGATTTGTGTATGTGATGTTGTCACGTGTTGATACATGTGTACTTCTTGTTCTCTGGTTAGATTTATTCTCCTGACCATACCAGCAGTAGTTTTCCATCAAATCCATCAACACCAGTTGGATCACCTTCACCTCTCACAGGTAGGCTTCTGTTTAACCACTTCTAACGTGTGTGGGGCTACTTGGAAATATTTCTAGGTCATTTATTTCTCAACACATAAAAATTTGTGGAAAACTTACTTAGATTTTGACTATAAGAAAGCATGTGGCCAGGCGTGGTGGCTCACGCCTGTAATCCAAGCACTTTGGAGGCCAAGGTGGGCGGATCACCTGAGGTTGGGAAGTTCAAGACCAGCCTGACCAACATGGTGAAACCCTGTCTTTAAAAAAAAAAAAAAAAAAAAAGAAAGCATGTAAAGAGAACCTTCCTCTTGAATTCATTTAGAGAATATTGAAATATTTGCTTGTTTTGAATTGTTTATTAGTATCTTCCCTGATTCTTAATGTAATTTGTGATCATTTCCAAGCATAGTTACAACAGGATAAAAATAAGACCAGGCAACTGGAATGAAGGTAAAGTATGGAGAAATCATGAAATCAAAAATTTTAGTTTTTTTAGAGACAAGAGTCTTACTCTGTTGCCCTGGCTGGAGTGCAGTGGTATGATCACAGCTCACTGCAGCCTCCAACTTCTGGGCTCAAATGATCCTTCCACTTCAGCCTCCTGAGTAACTGGGACTCCAGGTGTATGCCACCACGCCAAGCTAATTTTTTACCTTTTGTGAAGACTAGGTCTCATTGTGTTGCCCAGGCTGGTCTTGAACTCCTGAGCTCAAGCAATCCTCCCACCTTGGTCCTTAAAAATCCTGGGATTACAGGTGTCAGGCACCACCCCCCAAAAAAACGTTTTTATAAGGTAGCATGTAACATAAACAAGATTAATCTGTTTAAAAGTACATGTAACTTCTTTGTTCCTTGTTCTCCATACTTGCCATGCACTACAAGTGAGATTCAAAGATGAATAGGTATTTCTGCTAGATAGTCCGTTTTTATTGTTAGGTCAACTAAGTTATTATTTCACATACATGTAAAAATTGTTGGAATGATGTAGTTTTTCTGCTAAGGAAAAGAACTGTCTGAGAAGGTGGATTAATATTGTAAGTGGAGATGAGTGGTTCACTGTTTTGTTCTGTTTGAGATGGCGTCTTACTCTGTTGCCCAGGCTGGAGTGCAGTGGCATGATCTCGGCTTACTCCCACCTCCATCTCCTGGGTTCAAGGGATTTTCCTGCATCAGCTTCCTGAGTAGCTGGGATTACAGGTGCACACTACCACACTGGCTAATTTTTTTTTTTTTAAGAGACGGAGTTCACCATGTTGGCCAGGCTGGTCTAGAACTCCTGACCTCAAGTGATTGGCCTGCGTCATCCTCCCAAAGTGCTGGGATTACAGGCATGAGCCACTGCACCAGGCCCACATTTGTTTTTTAAATTTTGCACATTAGTGTAGACAAGTTCTAAATACTATCCTACAGTATAAACTTGTTGAGACATGATTGGTGTTATTATAAATGGGAATTTCTTTATTTCTTAGGCATAAATATAATATATAAAAATGTTTAATATCTTTTAAGATGTAATTTTAATACTTGAACTATATTTTTCTGAGCAGTGTTTGGAGAAGAACCTTGACGATGGAAAAATATATTAGGTTGTTTTGAAGAAAAGATGTCAGGCAACTGGGTAAAGTTATCATATTCCTCCAACAACAGTTGACCTCAGAAATAATTCTGATTTCCTTGTCAGGCTGTTAAGTCCATGCAGTTTTGTGTTTTGTTGTTGTTAAGCCTGTTTGCATTGTGGCCCTGGCCATCACCTGTACTTTGTATATTAGCCTTGTGGCTCTGCTAAGAAGCATTGTGGTGTGGGGTTGATGAGCTGCTGGCAGCTGCTTTCAGCTCTTAGCAGGTTCCGCCACTCTCTCAGACATCAGCGCTTCAGCTGTCTAGTAGAAGTTAAACAGCTGTTCTCTATATAGACAAGACTGTGAAAGACCCATTGACTTAAAGTTGTTGTTTAGCAGAGCTGAAATTACAGAAAGAATGATGTAACTCTAACTCTGCTCACCCTCTTTGCACAGTTTTACTAAAATTATCAATGTCATTTTTGCCACACCCTGTTTCACTTTCTCATCTGGGGTATCCATATCAGCATTCCCACTACCTCTTCTTGTCTTTCTAGTAAGATAGCCGCCAAAGTATCCTTTGGTTTTAATTAACACTGAGTAGGAAGGCAGGCCATGGCAGAGCTCAGCATCTATGGAGGATCATCAGTGAAATGCAGAATCAGAGAGTTAGACATTTTCCAGAGAATAGGGGTCACAAGTTAAAATCACATTTCCTCCTCCATCTTTCTTTAATATTTAGCGGGTGATGCTCTGTTTTTTTCTTTAATTCAGGTTGTTAATTAAAATCTGGACTGTTGAATTGTGTAATGAAGGCTTTTTCAATTCAGCAGTGATAATTAAAGAAAAATACTCATATTTGTGTTGAAACAGCAAATCAAAGACTGATTTTAGGCAGGTGCATCTCTCCCTTCTTTATCTATACTTCTTATCTGTGTGCCTGTGCGTGCGCGCACGCGCACACACACACACACCCACCCCTACTCATAGCAGGGCAGAGATGAGATAGAAGAAAGGAAAGCCCTATGTGATAAAATATTCACTGTCAAAGGAAAAAGGGAAAGAATAGAGCAAACCAAAGCTACTATGTAATATGTGGAAATTGTTTGCATCTTATGTGGCGTTGGCCTGTATCTAGAATAAAAATTCTACCCACTGTATGCTCTCTACACTTGCCCTATTCCTTAGGCTTCTAAACATCAGTTAGACTTAGCACAGGTCTTTTAAGGTTAGATACACAGGTGCGGAGCCAGATAAGCAGCTTCTAAGACCATCATTCTTTAAATCTGCAGTGTTTTCCTTGGAAACTTCAGGTCAGGAGCATACATTTCTACATAGAGAGTGCTTAGGAAGAAATTTATGAAATACTGTATTGGTTAGGATGGTTTAGGCTAAAACTAAAAGAAACTTTGTCTCAACTAGACTGAACAATAAGAGGATTTATTCTCTTGAGTGGCAAGGTCCTGGCCCCCTGTGTCAGGGCTCCTGCTCTACTTTGCAGTTCTTCCTCACAGTAGTAGCAAGATAGCAGTTCAAGGTACCACATGGCAGACGTTTCCAGTAGATGTAAAAAAAGGACTCTTTTTTTAATGAAAAAAATCCTTAATTTTCTACTACTGATACCACTACCACAATTTACAGGGCAAAGCTGCCCCAGATAGAAGACCTCAGGAGTATACATCTTCCTGCCAATACATGGCATTAGGCAGTGGCTGCACTTTTTGCACACTGGCTATGACAGTCCTGAATAGGCAGGGTTTTCCGTTAAAGCTGCGGTAACTTTCCTGTGGGTCATCGTTCCCTCTGTGGCAGGTTTATAGCTTCTCTGATGTTTTTGGGACAGCTGTCTCAAAGTAACCTACAGCTTTCCTGGCAACTACTCCTCCTCTCTCCTGCTAAGAACTATAGCCCTTTTCTGCTGTTTCTAGAACCTTCTGCTACCATATCTACCACTTTGACATCATAGGGAATGTCTGAGCTTCTTCCACCAAAATTGCCCCCTTTCATGGGTCATAATTTGGTTGCTGTTGTTCACTGAAATTTCCAAAATCATTATACTTCCGACCACCACCATTGTTACCACCACCATAATTTCCTCCTTCATTGTAACCATCATATGCTCTACCACCATCACCATATCCTTGGTCCGTCACCATCATAGCCCCCTCTACTGCTATAACCAGGACCACAACCACAATTGCCACCGTCACCTCCAAATCCATTATATGCACCATCACCTCCTCCATTACTACCTCTGATGCCATCACCTCTACCACCAAAGTTCCCACCATGGCCAAAATTACCTCTACCACCTCCAGTCTCCTCCACAATAAAATTGCCCGATCTAGCTCTGTGACCTCGGTGTCATTCAGCAGACTGCATCTCTTGTTTAGAAAGGACCTTTTTCACTTCACAGTTCTGCCCATTAATAGTGCGGTATTTCTAAACAACAGTTTTATCAACTGTATCATGATCATCAGAACTTAGGAAAGCAGATCCTCTCTTTTTCTACTCTGCCTGTCTTCCATAACTTCTGTGTTTTCAGTCTTGCCATAGTTTTCAAAAGTAATCTCAAGTTGTATTATTCGGTATCTTCTTTAATACTACCAGCAGACGTTTTCTTCACTGTTAGATGGGCACCAGACTTACAGCTGTCTGGTTCCACTACACACCCATCAGCCTTGTGTGGTCTAGCACACCTTGCTGCATCTACCTCTTCAACACAAGAGTAAGTCACAAATCCAAAGACCCTGGAACGTTTTGTTTGGGGTCTCTTATTACCACACAGTCTGTGAATGTGCTCTGTTTCTCAAAGTGTCTCTTAAACTATCATCTGTAGCTTCAAAGCTCAGACCACCAATAAAAAGTTTTCTCAAATGCTCTATTTCCTCTGAATCATGGCCCTCCTCCACACCTCCACCCCCTCCGTGGTGGTGGCAGTGGCTGGAGTTGGGCTGGGGGCCACCAGGCAGCAGTTTGACCTCCATTTTGAGGCCAGATGACCGGACTCACCTCTTCCAGTACAAGTTCAGCATCTCATGTCTTTCTTTTAAGAGTCTTTGAAAAATTATTTTAAGGATCCTTTTCCAGAAGTTTCTTAAACAGATTTTCCCTTACATCTTATTGGCCAACACTGGGCCTAATGCAGTTGCTTACAACAGAAATGATGCCACCATGTTTATCTTAGCATCTGGATTTGTCCCTAGGGCTAAGAATAGAATTGCTGTCTCCTGGTTCATATTAGGAAAGGATAGACCCACCTCCCACACCCCTTGTGAACAAAATCAGCATGCTCCGGCCACAAGGTAGAAGAGAGGAATGGCTGTTTGCTACAGTTGTTATTTAGGAAAAGATGAGCATTCGCAGTAAGAGAATAGGTTTAATAAGGGAGCTTGGGAGGCGGACAAAGTCATCCTTTGCCTTTCGTTATCTCCTTCTGGAATATAAATGAATAACAGTTTAATAATTGTAGTACTCTGCAGTAATCTTCAGAGCATTCGCAGAAAAAAATAAAAAGGAGAGAAAGAAATTCTCGGTTTCAGCTAGTTTATTCATTGAGCTGCTTATTTTTATTACCTGTCAGACTGCCTGGTGTTAAGTCAGTTACCTGACTTCCGCATGCTTTAACCAAGTATGTTACACTAGAACAGCCCAGTCTGTAATAAAAACAAAATAAGGGTAGGTGTTTGTATATTTTTTTCCAGTTTTTAATGAATTACACATTGTGGACAGACCTTTATACAGTTTTTTTTTAATAGTGCCAGAAATTATCTAGATGATTTATTACCCAAGTAATTTAATGTGACATCTGATTCCTCAACATTAAGCTAGTGAAGAATCATAAAAGCTGCCTGTTTTGCAAAGGCACAGATGCGTGCTGACTATTCTGAGGCATTTGGACATAAAACTTGTGTTAGTATTTCACAAAAAGTTAAGTAATTTGATGATTAGGCTCCTATCATGGGGGCTTAAGGGAGGTCTAGAACAAAGTGATTGAGAAGTAAAATATTATATACATTAAGATAAATTCCTTTTTAATAATTAAGGATGTTTTTCAAAATAGATTATGACTAACCTGGTTACCTAAAATTCCTAATTCTGCATCAGCATAGCAGTGTAATGCACTGAAATCAGCAGTAAGGTGTTGGATGCTTGTTTTTATATACATTTTTAATATAATCAGTTATCATGATTTCTGGTTGATCAGTTCTCCTTTTTAATTATAAAATTAGGCTGGGCATGGTGGCTTATGCCTGTAATCCCATCACTTTGGGAGGCCAAGGAGGGAGGCTCACCTGAGGTTGGGAGTTTGAGACCAGCTTGACTAACATGGAGAAACCCCATCTCTACTAAAAATAGAAAAAATTAGCTGGGGGAGGTGGGGCATGCCAGTAATCCTAGCTCCTCAGGAGGCTGAGACCAGAGAATCGATTGAACCTGGGAGGCAGAGGTTTTGGTGAGCCGAGATCACGCCACTGCACTCCAGCCTGGGCAACAAGAGTGAAACTGTGTCTCAAAAAAAATAAATAAATAAAGTAAAATAAAATTAGCCCACAAGCTTCTTGAAAGAGAAGCAGTTTTAGATTGTCCATAGTTTGTTTGTAGTTGATTTATGATTACATTTATATGTCTAGCAGGAGGCTTTTAATGATCCCCAAAATAATTTGTTTATAGTTTGCTTGTAAGTGAAAAAAAAATTAACTGATGTATTTTTTTCTCACAATTTTAGTATTTAAAGTATATTTATGTAATCATAACAATTTGCATATAATTAATTATGAAATCTAATCAGGTTATGAAGAATCTGTATCCAGCTTTTCAACTTAGAAATTGTATATGATTGATGAATACAATTGCTACCTTGTTCCATAATTAGTGTTACTCAGCTAAAATGAGTAAGTCTAATTGCATTGAAATAGATTGTATAGTTGTAGTTTACCCCACGTTTTTTTTCTGAGGTGAAGTATGACACTGCAGTTAGTTGTAGTGTCAGTTGTTCCTAAATACGGCAAATTGACCTGCCGCAAAAGCCTCGAGTGTGAAACAAACTAAACCTGCAGCTTCCAACTGAAGTTTCTAATATAGTTCAAACTGTTTGTCACTGAAGCTTTTATTAAAAACAAAAATACATGTTTAATTAAATGGTCTTTACTATTTTCTGTAAATGACTCATTTTCAGATGCGCAATCATGAAATAATGAAGATTTTGATGAATTGTTTTTGTCTTTTTCCTTTTAAAGGTATTTTGGCAAGACCATTAAAACATTGCCTTCTCCCTAACGTAGATGAATTATTTCATTGTATTTTTTCCTCATTTCTTTTTGTTTTTACACTCTGAACTTGTGTCTTTTCTTTTTCTAGCTTCATTTTTTAATTATGTTCCTACTTTTCTAACATCAGAATAAACAACATCTAACAGAAATTTTTATACTTTTTAAAATTAATGTTTCTGGTATTATACTATTTTGGGACATATTTTAACAGATGACCCCAAGTTCATTTTACAGTCATGTGAAATGTATTCATCGTGTATTACCAAAAGCACCATCAGTTAATATTATTTCTTAGTAAGGCAATTTGGCCTTATGTTAATACATTTATACCCTGTGATTCAGAAATACTACTTATCCTCAAGACGTATTCTTTTCCCTGGAGTGGGGGGGAGGAAACAGAGTAACGTTTACTATATCACTGTTCATAATGGCCAGTTGATAACAACAGAAATGTCTAGCAGTGAAATAATAGTAGCTAAGCAAATTAGGTGTAGAAGCCAGGCCCAGTGGCTCACGCCTGTAATCCCACCACTTTGCAAGGCTGAGGCAGGCAGATCACTTAAGGTCAGAAGTTCGAGACCAGCCTGGCCAACATGATGAAACCTCATCTCTACTAAAAATACAAAAATTGCACTTTGGGAGGCTGAGGCAGGTGGATCACCTGAAGTTAGGAGTTCAAGACCAGCCTGGTCAACATGATGAAACCACATCTCTACTAAAAATACAAAAATGTGTTTGGCATGGTGGTGCCTGCCTGTAATTCCAGCTACATGGGAGGCTGAGGCAGGAGAATTACTTGAACCTGGGAGGCAGAGGCTGTAGTTAGTCAAGATCGTGCTGTTGCACTCCAGCCTGGGCAACAGAGTTAGATGCAATCTCAAAAAAAGAAAAATAAAATAGCCACCATGGTGGCACACACTTGTAATGCCAGCTACTTGGGAGGCAGAGGCAGGAAAATAGCTTGAACTCAGAAGGTGGAGGTTGCAGTGAGCCAAGATTGTGCCATTGCACTCCAGCCTGGGCGACAGTGAGACTCCATCTCAAAAAAAAAAAAAAAAAAAAAAAAAAAACCGCCAGCCAGGCACAGTGGCTCATACCACTGCACTTTGGGAGGCTGAGGTGAGTGGATCACTTGAGGCCAGGAGTTCAAGACCAGCCTAGCCAACATGGTGAAACGCATCTCTACTAAAAATATAAAAATTAGCCAGGCGTGGTATTCACGCCTGTAATCCCAGCTACTTGGGAAGCTTAGGCTGGAGTATCGCTTGAACCCGAGAGGTGGAGGTTACAGTGAGCCGAGGTCGTGCGACTGCACTCCAGCCTGGACAACAGAGCCAGACTCCATCTCAGAAAAAAAAAAAAAAGTGTAGAGAATCAGGGGAATATTAATGTTGCCATTAATCGGATTATCACAATGTCTGTACAGTGCTAGAGGGAGGGGGCAGAATTTTAAAAGTATGTACATTGTAAGTGCGCTTTCTCAAGATATCTAGGCACGTGGACGAAGTCTAAAGAATGTGCAAACATAAAGCTGTATTTTAAATTGCAGGGTTTTTTTTTTTTGTTTTCTCAGATCCCTACATTGTTTTTTATTAATTAAAGGTTTTTAAAAATGTATTGGGCTTATTAGTAGCCAATACTATGATGAAGGCTGAACAAAAATACTCATGTAACTTTATTTAATTATTCAGTATCTTTACCCTTTCCTTCACAGCATTATCAGGATTACTGAGTTAACCCAGGTGTGTGGGTGCTTTTGGGTTTTAACAGGTACCAGTCAGTGGCCCAGATCTGGAGGGCAAGCACCTTCATCCCCAAGCTATGAAAACTCACTCCACTCCCTGGTAAGAAAGAGCCTCTTATACATCAATTTTATCTGATAGCTCAGAGTTTGTTTTTAGTAAATGTGGCATAACAACAAAGAAACAGTAGGCTAGCATTGCACACGAATTCTTTGCTAACAAATGGCCTGATTCAGTTGAACAGTATAAGGCACACTGGGTATGCCTTTTGCCATCTGTTCTTTGGCACATCAGGCTTCTGGTGTCAGGACAGCTGATGTTAAAATCGTGTTATGACGATTTTTGTTTCTTTGACAAATCTAGGGCTTAATTTTTCTATACTTTTATGTCTACATATAAAGGGAAACTTTTTTTAAAAAGACAAGTAAAAGCAAGAAAATTTAACGCAAAAAGTAAAAACAAGTATTTTACTTTCTCATATGATAATGTTATGTGTGGTTTATTACATTTCCATTAAATTTTAAGTGAATACCAGTTGTTTTTATTATGAAAGTGTTATTTCCCGTGTTTTTTTATGGGGAAAAAAAGTGTATTGTGCAAATCATACAAGCAAAACATTATTTAACCTACAAGGCAGTAAAGGAAGCGTGTAGACACTTGAGCGTGGAGAATTTGTGGGAGAATGTTGACTACTGTTGCTTTTGTATACTTATGTTTGTAACCCAGAACTACATGGTATCCTAAACACAAAATAAGGATGATTTGATGGAATGCTAAGTCATGCTCTCATTCGTAATTCCAGGTTGCAGTAAGAAACATTCTTTTTCAGTGACTAACAGAACGTTTTAAATTGAAGGAACATTTGCTTCTCATGTATTTTGCAAGCAATTATAAGCAATGTGTGCTGTTTAGATGCTAACCTTATAACTTCCCTGTGGAATCCAAGCCTTTTCATATCTTAATAAAATAGATCTCTCAGGTCTTTGCGTTAACTTTACTAACATGTTATGCTTACATGCATATCAGCTATTTCCTCATCTCTTTTGGAGTTAATCTTAACCTGTGCTTTGCCTCCTGTTCTGTCTTGACTTTGCCAGAAAAATCGAGTTGAGCAGCAACTTCACGAGCATTTGCAAGATGCAATGTCCTTCTTAAAGGATGTCTGTGAGGTACTATTTCTTTTAGATGGTGCCTTTTTTGTGTTTCAATTATACTTCCCATAATTCATTTAAAATCTTTACACTGTACAGACTCCAGTCTTTAAAAATCAGACAATTGACTATTTCAGTTTTTATCATGGTATATAGGAATGGACTTTTGTCTCTTATATCGTTGAAAGTGATTCTTTTTAAAACAGCTCTACTGGCATGTGCTTTTGATTTTTCAAATTCTAATATGTTTGTGTATGGGGCATGTGTGTATCTGCAGACAGACAATGCCATTTATTTAGTTTTGTCAAAGAACATATCTGGATGTGTTCACCATATAAGATACATGTGCTTTATATACTTCAGACAGAATTGGAACTTAAACTTACTGGATGTGAGGTCCCTTCCCCAAATTGCCATCATTCAAAGATCAGTGTTAAAGTATAGGTTGTCCTTTATTTTGTTTTTTTAGCAACTATAATTGCTTATTGACATAGTATCCTTCATCTTTTATAGAAGCTAAAAGAAATAACCTCATGGTAGTTTGGCAGATTCATTTAATAAAGCAGTGATTTGTTTCTGACACTTTGAAAATTTAGCATAGTCTGTGTACCGATAGCCTTTCTATTTGTATTGATTTGTAGTTCAGGTAGTTGCTTTTGAAGCTACTTGATATTGCATTTCACTTGCTGTCTTCCATATCACATAATAGGAAGCATAGCAGTTAATGAATGTAACAGATGCCAGCAATAACCTCCATGTTTTTTTCGATCCATACAGCAGTCTCGAATGGAGGATCGTTTAGACAGACTGGATGATGCAATCCATGTGCTGCGGAACCATGCTGTGGGACCTTCCACCAGTTTGCCTGCTGGTCACAGTGATATACACAGTTTATTGGGACCATCCCATAATGCACCAATTGGAAGCCTCAATTCAAACTATGGAGGATCAAGCCTTGTTGCAAGCAGTCGATCAGCTTCGATGGTAAAATTGCACTCAGCTTTTTTGTAGTAAACCCTAAATATTCTTGTCCTAAGTGTCTTTAATGTAATCTTTGGGAAGAGGATCTTTCTGAAAGGCAAAGACTGACTTTTCAGAATTTTCCCTACTGTCTTTGGCAGTAGAGTATTGGCTAAGTATTAGTCTGTAAAATCTTCTTGTGACCTTGTGCAAAAAGCAGAAGCTTTCTACAAAGATCATTTTTAGCTAAAACTTTTTTTTCCCAGATGTGTAGTAATTGACACAACAATTTTTGCCTTGAAATAGTGCATAGGAAATCTGAACAGCAAGAATTTTAATCTAGAAAAGTTGTTTATTATAATTTAGAACCAGCCTTTGGTGGTAGAAAGAATGTGAGACTAAAATTTATGCAGGTCCAAATTTAAACTTTATTCCAAAATTACGGGGGAGGTAGTTTTAAGAATGGCTATAACTTTAGTAATAAAATAAACAATTTTAGATTAATCTAGAAAGAGAATTTGTAAGACTGTTGCCCGTCTTTTAAAAAAACACGGTAATTTTTTAGAGTGGGAAAAAGGTAGACTTCTACAGCCATACACATCAAAAATTCTGTGTTTACCATCTTACATTATTTTTTTTCCAAATTATCTTTTAAAGAAATGAAGTTCATTTGGAACCTGCTATTTTAAACTTACACCATGTGTTTGCATGTTTATGCTGTGGTTTTTATGGCTCACTGGATGCTATGAAATGTTCTTCTCTGAAACAGATTTTTAGCTTTAAGCCATATGATGAAGGCTAAAACTTACCTATCATCAAAATAATTAGGTGCCCCAAATACTGAAGGCTTGTGTTCTGTAAGAGGATTGGTGTCAGATTTTCACCCATATCATGTAACCATTTATACCCATTTTTGAGCCTCTGTAGTAAACACACAAGGCTGCCTATTTTCTGAGAACTACATTTTCACCAGTATGGTAACATTAGATGCCGTGCGTGTGTGTGTGTGTCTGTGTGTGTGTGTGTTGTCAGGAAATCTTGAAAAGCAGTCTCCTTTTAAAGTCCTTTTTGTTGCTATTGATAAGCTAATAAGTGTCAAAACATGAGTTACTAAATTAGTAAAATGGGGGAATGTCTGATGGCTCTCACCAGTAATACGAGCACTTTGGGAAGCCAAGGCAGGAGGACTACTTGGAATTCCAAGACCAGCCTGGGCAACAAAGAGAGACCCCTGTCTTTACAAAAAAAAAAAAATTGGCCGTGCGCAGTGGCTCACACCTGTAATCCCAGCACTTTGGGAGGCCAAGGCGGGTGGATCACGAGGTCAAGAGATCGAGACCATCCTGGTCAACAAGGTGAAACACCGTCTCTACTAAAAATACAAAAAATTAGCTGGGCATGGTGGTGCACGCCTGTAGTCCCAGCTACTCAGGAGTCTGAGGCAGGACAATTGCCTGAACCCAGGAGGCGGAGGTTGCGGTGAGCCGAGATCGCGCCATTGCACTCTAGCCTGGGTAACAAGAGCGAAACTCTGTCCCAAAAAAAAAAAAATCAAAAAAATTAGCCTGGCACAGTGGCATGTGGTGTGGTCCCAGCTACATCCTAGGTGGGAGGATCTCTTGATCCCAGGAGGTTGAGGCTGCAGTGAGCCGTATTTGTGCTGCTACACTCCAGCCTAGGCAACAGAGCGAAACCCTGTCTCACAAAAAAAAAAAAAAAAAAAAAATGAAAGAAAAAATATGAGAGGGTATTGTTACCACTTTTGGTAGTAGTAATGAAATTATTTTATAGGTATAATAAAAGGTATTTGTTACAAATATAAATGCAGAATAACTAATTAATAATTTGCTGAAATACTATTTATCCTTATTTAGAAGCGTGACTTAAAAATCAATATACTTGAATCTTAAGTTAGCCTCAGCAGCAACATTTGTAGTTCTTATTCCTTACCTCTTAATGATTTTTTAATTCTTTACTTTTACTACCTTACGGCTCCTATTCCAACTTATCTGCTTCAGTATTTCATATATATCTGGCTTTTCCCAGTTTGGAGTTTGCATAAGACATAACTTCTGTTTTGAGAAAGCTGAGGTTTTTTTTTTTAACCTATTTTGGATATTCCATAACAGGAAAGGAAACTTATCAAAAGGCAGTCCTCGAAAGCCACATAGAAACCTAAGCTCTTTCATTGGATGTCACCCTAAAACTTAAAACTGAGAAAGTAGCTCCCACTATATGCTGAAGGAATGTGCTGCCCTATTCTGAACAACAGCAAAAGGTCTGCCAGAGATATTCTTAGAAGGAAAAAAAATCTCAAATAATCTAGAAAAAATGGTCTCCTGAGACATGAGGTGAGTCTGGCTTAGTCTGTGTAGCAACATGAGTGCCACAGCAGCTAGCCCAAGCTGCTGCTCAGCGTGTCTATCATGGCCTTCTCCTCAGTCCTTATCACCTTCTCAGCGGGCACAGAGCTGTGAAAAATCTGCCAGAAGTCATCTGCTGTCTTCATCTCATCCAGACACAATCACTAGTACTTTTAGCAGTGAAGATCAGATGTATCCTGCCAGGATTAGCCTCAAAACATAAAGTTATTAGCTGACAAAATCTGACACTGTTAGGGGAGTCAGCATTCATCTCCCGCCTTTTAGCTGTTGAGTCCTCAGTTCTCAGCTTCAGCAAAAAGAGCAAAGGATGGAATGAAGAGTAGTCTGCCACTGACTATTCCAGCTGAGTCTTAGCCATGTTGTTGAGGAAGACTCTGTCTTATCATGTGGTTCTTTTCCATGTCTGAGAACCTCCATTAGTACTGCTGGGAGCTTTTTGTTTACATGCTCAACACCCACTATATGGAATCAACTCTTCACATTCTTGCAGAGTATGCGATTTTGGGGGCACGTTTTGGTAACGCTCTCTCTCTCTCTTTTTTTTTAGATGGAGTTTCTCTCTTGTTGCCCACGCTGGAGTGCAGTGGTTCGATTTCAGCTCTCTGCAACCTTCGCCTCCTGGGTTCAAGCAATTCTCCTGCCTCAGCCTCCTGAGTAGCTGGGATTACAGGGCCCGCCACCACACCCAGCTAATTTTTTGTACTTTTAGTAGAGACTTTTAGGTTTCACCATGTTGGCCAGGATGGTCTTGAACACTTGACCTCAGGCAGTCCACCCACCTCAGCCTCCCAACGTGCTGTGATTATAGGTGTAAGCCACCGCACCCAGCTCATTTTTGTAACTCTTGTCAACTCCTTCCAAGCATTAATCTCCAGCTTTTATTGTCCCCTCATCCCCTCCATGCATCCTCTTAACTGATTGTGACCAAGAAATAATGTGGTTTGACATTGTGCATTTGCTTCCCCACCGCCCCCGACCCCCCGCCTTGTTTTTCATCTCTTGTAACTTTCCAGAAGTTTGTATATGTTTTTCTGCATTAATAAACGTTAGCGGCCGGGCGTGGTGGCTCACGTCTGTAATCCCAGCACTATGGGAGGCCGAGGCGGGTGGATCACGAGGTCAAGAGATCGAGACCATCCTGGTCAACATGGTGAAACCCCGTCTCTACTAAAAATACAAAAAATTAGCTGGGCATGGTGGCGCGTGCCTGTAATCCCAGCTACTCAGGAGGCCGAGGCAGGAGAATTGCCTGAACCCAGGAGGCGGACGTTGCGGTGAGCCGAGATCGTGCCATTGCACTCCAGCCTGGGTAACAAGAGTGAAACTCTGTCTCAAAAAAAAGTTAGTATTTGTGTCAGGCTCCTAATTATGGTGGCTACGTGGCCCAACTTACAAAGTGGCCACAGAAATACCTGTTGATCAGCAATTTTATACCACCATGTAGAATTCATGAGCTCAGCTTCTTTCAAAAACATTTGCTTATCATTATTCCATGTATTTATTGCAGAGAATAGGATTATTCTGATAAACGTTGATATTTTCAGGACCTCCACAGAACATTCATATGACATTTTTGCTATAATGGAACTTTATCCTGATGGGCAGAATTCTAACTGTAGGGTTTAAACATATCACTTTTTCTCCTAGCATTTAGAAAAGGGTTCAATATGCTTTTCCTCTAAAGGGCCAGAGAGTACATATTTTCAGCTTTGTAGGCTCTGTAGTCTATCACAATGTAATATGAAAGCAGCTATAGACAATATGACAAGAGATGGGTGTGGGTGTATTCTAGTAAAACTTGATTCACAAAAACAAGCTCCTTTATTTATTTAAATTAAAAAATTTTAAAGTCAAGATCTGGCTACAGGCCAGACCTTGGGAATTCCTGATTTATAACATAAATTGGCACCCTAGCAGGTATAATGGGGTTAGCTTGTTTTTCTTTTTTTTGGAGCCTGTAACATTTGGCATATGTTCAGCACTGTTTACAATAGCAAAGACCTGGAACCAACCCACATGCCCATCAATGATAGACTGGACAGGGAAAATGTGGCACATATACACCATGGAATACTATGCAGCCATCAAAAACGATGAGTTCCTGTCCTTTGTAGGGACATGGATGAGCCTGGAGAACATCATTCTCAGCAAACTGACACAAGAACAGAAAATGAAACACCACATGTTCTCACTCATAGGTGGGTGTTGAACAATGAGAACACATGGACACAGGGAGGGGAGCATCACACACTGGGGTCTGTTGGGGGGAATAGGGGAGGGACAGTGGGGGGTGGGGAGTTGGGGAGAGATAGCATGGGGAGAAATGCCAGATACAGGTGAAGGGGAGGAAGGCAGCAAATCACACTGCCACATGTGTACCTGTGCAACAATCTTGCATGTTCTTCACATGTACCCCAAAACCTAAAATGCAATAAAAAAAAAATTGGCATTATGTTAATGAGTAGTTTGAGAGTTTTGTGTAAGTAATTGGAATACTTGAGGTGAACCAGGATACACTAGTAGTGGAAGAGTCAGAGTTGATGGCAGTATAAAAGTGGTACAGGCCAGGCACAGTGGCTCACATCTGTAATCTCAGCACTTTGGGAGGCCAAGGTGGGTGAATTGCTAGAAGCAGAAGTT